GAGAGAGAGAGAGAGAGAGAGAGAGAGAGAGAGAGAGAGAGAGAATTTTAATGTTTTTATTTTTTTTTTAGTTTTCGGTGGTCACAACATCTTTGTATGTGGTGCTGAGGATCGAACCCGGGCCACACGCATGCCAGGCGAGCGYGCTACCGCTTGAGCCACATCCCCAGCCCTATTTTTTAATTCTTTCTCTGTCTCTCTCAGTACTGGGGATTGAACTCAGGGGTGCTTTTCCACTGAGCTACACCTCTGGTCCTTTCTATTTTGACAGAGGGTCTCATTACATTGCTGATGCTGGCCTCAAACTTTTGATTTTCCTCCTTCAGCATCCCAAACTCTGGTTGTGTGCCAGTAAGCCTGGCTCTAATCTCTTAAGTGAATATCAACATCCACAAAGTTGCCTAAGTTAGAAATGTAAAGAATTCTTTATAATAATTTGCTTAATTTTATGTGTGCTGAGGATCGAACCCAGTGCCTCACATGTGTGAGGCATGCGCTCTACCACTGAGCCCCAGCCCCAGCCCCTTAAAGAATTCTTTAGCCTGGAATACTTGTTTGTGACAGTTTGTTGAACTTCCCTTGTTTTTGATGAACTCGAACAGTGTTAAAAATACTGTTTAGATATTTTGTAGACTGTCAAATGAGATTTATTGGCTATTTTTCTCATGATTAGATGGGGGTTAAGGGTTTTTGGAGAAAAAGACACAGAGATAAAGTGCTATTGCCATCATACTGTATTAAGGGTATAATCTACCACTGTTGATGTTAATATCAATTATCTGACTTAAATCCTACTGATCTCCTGTTTTAATTGCAAATACCTTAAAGCTATGGTGGTACTAAGGATTTTGAGAAATAGTCTTCCTAGGTGGCCCATACTGGCCTTGAACTTGTAATCCTAGTGCCTTAGCCTCCTGAGGAACTGAGATTACAGGTGTGTGCCATATGTTCATGATGTTCTCCTTTAAAAATTTTATTTACTTGTTTATTTGTGGTACTGGGAAAATCAAACCCAGAATCTCCCACAAGCCAGGCAAACACTCAGGCACTGAACCACATTTTCAGCCTCAATGATGTTYTCTTTTTGTCTAGTTTTCCTCTTCTTACAGTAAAAGCACCAGTTATACTTGACTTGATCATATCTGCAGAGACCCTGGTTTCAAATAAGGTCATATACTGGTTTCAACATAACTTTCCAGGAGACACAATTCAACCCATAACAATTAGCAAGAAAAAACATTATAATGGACAAGACTGGAAGATGTGACATTAATCAAGATATCAAGGGGAACATTATAGTTAGTAAGATATATCAAACTTGTGGGCCAAGTGACAAAATGAAAGAATATGTGATATTTCTTCTAAACATAAATAACCTCAATCTGACCACAAACAAATACCACATATATTCAAACTGGGGGAGATGCACAAAAGATTTGATTTGTAATCTTCAAACATAAGTTTCAAACATAAGTCATGTAAGTCAAGAAAAAAAAAACTAAGGAACTGTTCTAGATCAAAGGACAATAAAGAGAAATGACAAATAAAATTTATTAATACTGAACAGGATCTTTTGCTATTAAAATTGGTCAATTTAGCTGGGCACAGTGGCACATGCCAAGAGACTGAGGCAGGAGGATTGCTAGTTCAAAGCCAGCCACAGCAACTTAGTAAGGTCCTAAGCAATTTAGCAAGACCCTGTATCTAAATAAAATATAAAGAAGGGCTAGGGATGTGGCTCAGTGGTTAAGTGCCCCTGGGATCAATATCAGGTACCAAAAGAAAAAAGAAAATTTTAAGCTTAATTTTGAGATGGAGTCTTTGCTATGTCACACAGGGTGGCTTCAAACATGCCATCCTTCTGCTTCTGCTTCACTCTTCCAAACAGTACAAGTAGGTACTACTGCATTTGGCAGAACAAAGAATTTGAATACTTTTACTACAGAGTAGTGATTACATCATAATCCATAAATATGGACAATTTTTATGTGTCAGCCAAAACAGAAAAACACTCAAGGGGAAAAAAAAAGATAACTATGGTTGAATTGTGTTATTTTTCTCTACCCTCCCCTATATCAAACTCATGATGAAGCCTGGTCACCTCAAAATTTGACTCTATTTATAGAGTTTTTTKTTTGTTTGTTTGTTTTGGTACCAGAGATTAAACTCAGGGGCACTAAGCCCTTAAGCCACATCCCCAGCCCTATTTTGTATTTTATTTAGAGACAGGGTCTCACTGAGTTGCTTAGCACCTCACTATTCTGAAGCTGGCTTTGAACTCGCTGTTCTCCTGTCTCAGCCTCCCAAGCCACTGGGATTACAGGTGTGCACTACTGCAGCCAGCTAGAGAGAGAATTTTTATAAAGGTAATCAAGTTATCAACTGAAATAAAGTCTTTAGGATGGGCCTTATCTAATATGATTGGTATCTGGACATAGCATATACACAGAGGGAAGGTGATATCAAAAGAGATGGAGAAAAGATAACCATCTACAAACCAAAGAGAGGTCTCTGATAGATCATTCCTTCAAAAGTCCTCAGAAAGAACCAACTCTGCTGATACCTTGACTTTGGACTTTTAACTGCCAGACAACGAGACAATAAATTCATGTTGTTTAAGTCATCTAGTCTGAAACAGTTTCAATATTATCAGAAACCACTAATTTAGAAAGKTCTGCAAACCCCAAGCTAGGTAAATATAAAGAACACACTTAGGCACATCATTGAATGACTAATGAAAACCAAAGATAAAGTATTAATAGCAGCCAAAGAAAAAAAGATATATTATATTTAAAGAAGAAATTATAATAAGACTGATTTCTCACTGAAATGGTGGATACATGCAGGACAAAAGAACACGCTTTTTTACTTTTGGTATCATGGATTGAACTCAAGGGCCATTGACCACTGAGACATATCCCTAGACCTATTTTGTATTTTATTTAGAGACAGGGTCTCATTAAGTTGCTTAGGCACTTTGCTTTTAAACTCTTGATCCTCCTGCCTCAGTCTCCCAAGCCACTAGGATTAAAAGTGTGTACCACTGCACCTGGCCAAAAGAACATGTTTTAAGTGCAAAAATAATTGCTACCCTAGAATTCCATACCCAGAGGAAAAAAGATGCTCCAAATAAACAAATTTAAAGAATAGACTACCATCTTATCTATAGTCAAGGAAATCCTAAATATATTCCTCAGCAGAGAGACAATTATCCCAGATAAAAGAACAGGGATGCAGGGTTTTGTTTTTCGGTACATGGGATTGAACCCATGCTTAACTGTGGGCCACATTCCCAGTCCTTTTTATTTTGAGACAAGGTCTCACTAAGTTGTTGAGGACCTCTCCAAGTTGCTGAGGCTGGCCTTGAACTTGTGATCTTCCTGCATGTCCTTTCAGTTGCTGGGATTACAGGTGCCCACCTGAAGCAGCTAGAAGTCAGAGATCCGAATATGGATTTCAGCAGCTGCCCAGTGCCAAGGTGACAGAATTGAGTTTAGGTCCTGCCAACAAAACACTGTCTTTTCTTTCCTCTTCCTTGTGTGCTTTCTTTTGTGGTATTTGTAATTGAATCCAGGGACACTCTAGCACTCAGCTACATCTCTGGCCCTTTATAATGTATGCATGTATTTATTTTTGAGACAGGGTCTTGCCAAATTGCCCAGACTGGTTTCAAATTTTCAATCCTCTTTGTTTCCAGAGTCTTTGAGATTACAGGTGTGCATTACCACACCCACTACACCATACACTCTTACAACCATACAGAGTAATTAAAACTTAAACCAGAAAAAAAAGAGCAAAACACTGCTTCTTTACTGTTTCTTTCAGAGGCCTTTTAATGGGGGGGGGGGCGGCAAAAAAGTCAGTTTACATGAAATTTAGCAACAGAATGTTTTCAGGTTATCTGAAAGAAAAAAAAAATAAACAGTACATACACTGGTTTCTAATCCCAATTTATGTCCTATAATAGTAATTACAGGTGATGCTTCGGGATAATCCCCTTAAATACCAAAGCGTTAGGCTTTTAGTACAGCATAATGGTTAGGGCTTGWATGAGCTTTACAATCAGAAGGACCCAGGTATAATTCTAGTCGCCATCACTTTTTACTACCTATATTACCTTGTACAAAGTCACTAATTCTTCAAAAGTAAATTGGTTCATCTGTGGAGATAATAATACTTATCCTTAAAGTTATATACCACRAGTAAACAGTCTCTGGCATACCGTAAGCACTCAATATAAGATAGCTGTAATTTTTACTTACATTGGCCACAACTTTTACTTCTTTATACTGTGCTTCATAGAAAATTCCAGCATTTTCCAGTGCTTCTGTTAGTGAAGGCCCATTTTTCACCTGCTTATCCAGTCCATTCACAAATTCTTCCAGCTTAGAGCTTGCCTCTTCAAATTCTTTGGAGAATTTCTTCCCACCAGTTTTATCTAAAATAATAGAGAAGGTATTTATTTTGTAAAAATTTTACTCTTTTGAGGACAGTCCCTGTTCGTGAATCATGTGAGTCTGTGAACCTCTTTCTGCTTGGTGTATAATTTGTGTGTGTGTGTGTGTGTGTGTGTGTGTGTGGTGCTGGGGATTGAACCCAGTGAGGCAAGCACTCTACCAACTGAGCTATATCCCCAGCCCAGTGTATAATATTTTTAGTCTTATTTTTATTATTATTTTTTTAATATTTTTTCTTTAGTTGTAGATGGACACAGTACATTTACTTTATTTGTTTTTATGTGGTGCTAAGGATCGAACCCAGAGCCTCATGCATGCCAGCCAAACACTCAACCACTGAGCCACAACCCCAGACCTTAGTTTTATCTTAAATCACAAAACAGATTTATGTGGATCTGCTAAAGTGAAGAAGAGTGGAGGTATCTATAATTAAGATAAAGATGAGCTGGGGCTGGGGCTCAGAGGTAGAGCACTCACTTATCACATGTAAGGCACTGGGTTCAATCCTCAGCATCCCATAAAACAATAAATAAACAAAAATAAAGGGATTGTGTCCATTTAGAACTAAAAAAAAAAATAAAAATAAAAAAAAAGAAAAGGAAATTCAACTAAAACAAAGTTTGTTGTACTTCTTTTCTTCACAAATTTGTTGTACACTGCTACTTAGGAGTAAGAATGAAGCTCAATTCTGTTCACTTTCATTGTAACAACGTTCAGAAAAGTAAATGGATCTTTCTGTATACCACACTAAATATCCTTTTCTCTCTGAAAAAGATCCTTAGTAATTTGATATATACTTCTTTTCCAGTGACTTCGCTTTAGAAATGGACATAAAGTTTGGCTTTGCCTCTTATCAGCTGTGTAACTTGACCAAACTACTCATCTCCTTATGAAGTGAAGCCTCAGATTTCTCATGAATTAAGAGATTTTTTAGAATGCTTCTGGGTTGTTGTGAGAACTAAATTAGATCATACTCAATTAAAGTATGGTGCAGACAATAGCTAAACTGTGGAGCCAACCTAGATGTCCTTCAGTGGATGATGGATGAAAAAAAAAATGTGGCATTTATACACAATGGAATATTACTCAGCAATAAAAAAGAGTAAGATCATGGCATTTGCAGGGAAATGGATAGCATTAGAGAAGATAATGCTAATTAAGTTAGCCAATCCCCCCCCMAAAAAAAAACAAATGCTGAATGTCTTCTCTAAGGGGGGAGACTCAAAATGGGGTTGGGAGGGAGGGCAAGGGAGGAAGATTACCTCTAGATAGGGGATAGGGGTGGGAAGGACAGGGAGGGAGAAGGGGAATAGCATGGATAATGAAAGGAGACCCTCATCATTATATGTATATAATACATGTATGAAGATGTGAATTTGGTGTCAACATATCTTATATATAATCAGATATGAGATAAATTATTGTATAATGGTGTATTAAGAACCGTAATGCAAAATAAATTAACTTTTAAAAAAATAAATAAAGTATGGTGCAGAAAAAAAATATGTGCCAAAATGAATAGCTAGTAGTCATTTATTCAYTACTTCAAAGAGATTTATCAAATGCCTATTATGTAATAAGGACTGCTTTAGACACTAGAAGAGTGACAACCAAATAAGGATAGTATTATGTATTAATGAAGCTTACATTTTGTATTTGGTAGTGTGAATATATATAATTTACAAAGTAAGGAAACAAGAACAACTGAATAGATTTAAAAAAAATTTTTTTTTGAACTTGTAGATGGACAGAATGCCTTTATTTATTTTTATGTGGTGCTATAGATCAAACCCAGTGCCTCACACATACCTGGCAAGCTCTCTGCCACTGAACTATAACCCCAGCCCAAATGACTAGATTTTTTTTTTTTTAGTTGTAGATGAATACATTACCTTTACTTTTCTATGAGGCGATGAGTGAGGATCAAACCATGTTTCACAAGTGCTAGGTAAACACTCACCACTCAGCCACAACCCTGGCCCCAACTAACTAGATTTTACAAGGCATTACAGTGACTTATTAAAGGGCACATCCAAACCAATTAATCACACATATGAAATACAAATGTTTACATATAATTCAATACATCAAATGAGAATAAGAATTTAATTTATATGAATGAAGTCACTATTAGGAAAATCAGAGATACCACAACTGTTTTTAAGACCTAAAGTTCTCTGGGGTAAACCAGTCTTAATTACCTGAAAACTCTAGATGTGGAAAGAAAAAATCTGAATTATTTTGTTTAAAAGAATATAAGTATTACCTTTTAAGCATTTGAGGGTTTCTGTGCTGCATACATCCACCCTCATAGTTGACAACTGTTTCTCCTTTAACTCTATCTGATCTTCTGAGCGCTTATATAGCAACAGTTCTTCAATGAGGGCCTGAGACTGAAGACAGACCAGAGTCATATTTCATTTATATGATCATTCAATTGTTTCTCCTTTTACCTCTCCCTTCATTTTTTTTCTCACAGTCAGGGATATCAAAGATAATTCTCGTGTCAAAGTTATATTTCAGTTACCTACTTTAATTATTCAAAGTTAAATTATGGATACAAGCTTAAGAAACAGATAAAGGTCCACTTAAATTTTTTTTTAAATTTTATTTTTTGGTACTTGGGATTGAATCAGGGGTACAAAACCACTGAGCTACATCTCTAGCCTTTTTAYTTTATTTTATCATTATTTTTTAGACAGGGTCTTGCTAAGTTACTTAGGGCCTCACTAAATTGCTGAGGCTGGCTTTGAATTTGTGATCCTCTTGCCTCAGCCTCCTCAGTCACTGGAATAACAGGCATGTACCAACGCACCCGCTACTCACGTTCTCTTTAAATTTYAGTTAGATAAACATAGTCTTCTCAACAAAAATTCTAATTTAGCAGAATTTCACTAAAGAGCCTTCTTGTTAGCATAAATTCAATACAGAACTTAGTTATACCACACAGTCTGGAAGGTTATATTTCTCATTAGACACAAAATTCTAGACAATCTAATCCCAATCTGGATTTTATTAGAATGATTCAAGCATGTTTAGAACATAACCAATATAAAATTTAGTAAAAATAAATCTTACTAAACTATATTAAAAGGGATAAATAATGTTTTGCTCTAGTTAATATATTTAAGTTAACATTTAACTTACTCGAAACTCAGCAACTATCTTAGACTTGAGAGCAGCTTTTGGATTCGTGGATGCTGTTAGAATTAAACAAAAAGTCATTAAGAATATAAGGAGCTGACTAAACTCAGGAAAAATCTTAGCTGTATAGTTAAGGGTGTACTCTTTGAACATATGGCAAACTTCCACATTTAAATCATAATATACTTCTTAGAATAAATAATGAACTATGAAATTTAAATACTCCCAAACATAGTCAATATAAAAATAAACTATTTAGATAGGCCTAACCAACTTACCTCTAATTGGACCCTGAAGTCATGGAGTTCTAGACTCACTGATTTGGAGATACATGAAGTACCTGCTTTTTCTATACTGACTGAGAATGTAAGAGTCTCAAAACCTCAACATGACGATGTTTAGGAATAGGACATAAAATTAACCCTGAGCACTGGTTGAAAAATTCACTTTCAATTATCAACTCTATTCCCATGTTTAGTTTTGGATTTATTTTCTGTTAACTCACTTCACAGCAAAAACAGGCAAGGACAGTTCTCAGTACATTATCACTGTGGATGAACTATGGCTGGAATGATGACTCTTGTTGTTCTAAGCATGCAACTTATGACCAAGATGTCAGAGGACTCCCCTTAACCATGATGAATATCATATGCTTGATGGAGCAAACCATTGCAAATGTCTTGTTCACCTCCCAATTCTCACTTTTACCTTGTTCCCTCCATACCTTCAAGTCTCTCAATATTCCTCAGTTTTCCCACAGAAGCCTATCACATGCAGTATTCCACTCCCTTGATCTCATGCTGGGTAAACATGATAAACACAACAGGGGCTCCAGTTAGAGAATGAGCTTCTTGCCAGGATATGAGGCCCATGTCTAATTGGTAGAATGTATCCCCAAATCTGAAGGATTTCATGGCTCCTACAAAAATGCTTCTCAATGCCTAGTCTCTTCTTCAGCTCTGTGGTTTAATGCCAGCTGCCTCTAACTTCATATATCTTTGAACCTGAGAATTAGCCTGAGCACTATCAAGTTTTGTTTTTCTTCTTTCAATCCCCCAACTACTCTTGAATCTTCACTCAATTAAACCCTTCTCTGCATTTTCTTTGTTTAATAGTGGTTTTTAAAGAGGTAACTTCATGGTAGCTTGTTTAATGTAAGTCACTGGGAGCCTCCCCGGCCTGGAAAACATAGGCTTGCCCATGGTTTATGCCAGGTACGATGTCAAATGGTCTACATTTTCTTCTGCTCCAAAAAGAGGAGGTAATTTTATATTAGTTGAGATTTTGTTCCTTACTTTGTGATTTCTTCCACTGCTTATTCGGTTGTTTGTTCAGATTTTCTTTCAGCTGCTTCTGAGTTTTGAAAGTGGTACCTGGAAAACATTTCAGTTTTTGCAATCTGGCATTATGGGAAGCTGTTCTGTCTGTCCACTTCAGTGCCAAAGTTGTAGTATGAAAAAAGGCAATCCGAGACTGTGTTGTTTCTTTCTTTTCTTTAATTTTTATTAAAATTATCTATATATCTATCTATCTATCTATATAAACACCCACCAGATCTAAGAAGCCATCAAACAATTTCTATAAGATATTACTGATTCTGAAAAGAATAGGGCATAAGGCTTAAAATATCATTTTAACAAATTCAAATGAAGAATTTAACAGCTTCTTAGAAGCTATTTTGAAAGCAAATTTCTAGTCAAATAATGATCATGATAGCAGATTACCCCCAACTTCTATTCAATGACTTAATTACATGCATCAAATACATAAGGACAAAATTACTAAAAAAACAAAACAAACAAAAAACATCCCAAAACACAGGTATATAACTTACTGCAAACCTCAATCAAAACAAAGTCTGAAGACTGCCAATATATACTTACTACCAAAAAGCTTAGGAAAAAATTAAACCCTGTACAAAAATTCTCCAATAGTAAGAGAACACAGTAGCATTTATTTATTTGAACAATGAAGAACACTTTTGAAATATTCAATTAAAGCAAATACAGGAAAATAATCAGATGACTATCATCACTTATTATGTTTGATTTTTTTTTTTWGTCAATAAAAACAAAATCCAAATCCCTGCCTCTCAAATCAATTCCACTTAAATTTTAAATTCAAACAGATCTAGATTTTTACAAATACTTAATTTTAAACAACAGGACCAGATTCAAAATTTTGTTTTTAATTATTATACAACCAGACTGGGTCTATAGATATATAATTGTACAGAGTGACTCAATTTTTGTTTTATGAGAGAAAAGACACTTACTCAAAGCCTCTCTCAATGCCACAATCATTTCTTCTGGGTATACATTTCTATCTTCCCAGATTTTAAAGATTCGTTCTATAGACTTGGAGACAGATGGATCCCTGAAGAAAAAGAGATTATAAAAAGATTGACTCAGATTCAAAGCTAGAAATCTAAAAATCAACAAAATTACTATTTTCCAAGTTTTTTCTGATGTCTATTTTAAAATATTTTYCCCTAAATGCTGAGTATTTTTATGATTAGATTGATGAACCAATTTGGTTTGGAATAAAAAGTTTTCATAAAATATAATTTTTTTTTTCTTAGTGTTTAGGGTTAAAGAAATCGTAAAAACTTATTTTGTCAAGGACAAAGAGAAGGCTATGGATGACATACTAAACTTTGTGATGGATATGAAGTAGATGCTAGTCAATGCACTAAATGACACAACTGGTATTCCAAAATATAGGTTGAATCTAACAAGATGAAATTTAATAAGAACCTGGTTCAAAAAAAAAAAAAAACCAAAATCCAAAATAATTCTGCCACTAAAAGACAAAACTTAACAATACTGTGCACTGTATCCCCTCACTCCCCACTGCCTTAAAAATTTTTTTTTTTGCGGGGGATTGTAGATGGATACAATACCTCTATTTTATTTATTTATTTATATGTGGTAATGAGGATTRAACCCAGTGCCTCACACATACTGGGTGAGTGCTCTACCACTGAGCCACAACCTCAGCCCTCCCCCACTGCCTTTTATTTTTAACATTTTTCCCATTTAAAAAAAAAWTTTTGTTCTACTTACTTACACATGACAGCAGAATGCACTTCAATTCATTGTACACATAGAGCCCTACTGCCCTTTAAAGGCAATAATTAAATAATTCTAATAAATCCTGTTTCAATATGTTGTCTAAAAAACTATCGAATGATACTGTAAGAATACATATCTAGAATGAGGGAGTTGAGATGTTATTGTTATTGTTTGGGCTCACATATGAGCTCTCAGTTCAGGTTGGTTATCCCACTTTAAAAGCAAAGTTGTGAAAGAAAAAATGAGACATAATTACCAGAATAAAGAATTATGTCACTATCCCCTTGCACCCTGACACACACACTGGGGCTTAACCCAGGATTATGCACATGCTACTTTCCAATCCCTTTTTATTTTATTTTACTTTGAGACAAGGTCTCACTAAGTTGCACAGTTGCTCTCAAACTGCATCATCTTCGTGAGTAGCTGGGATTACAGACCTGTGCTACTAAGCTCAGCAAAACTATGTTTTAAGTGAACTATAGAAGGAATAAGAAAAAACAATGTTGAGAGGCTTGTGAAGAAGAGCAAGGAAATGAATCAGTGACAGGTGTAGTGGTGCACCTCTGCAATCCCAGGGACTCCAGAGGCTGAGGCAGGAGGATCACACGTTTAAGGCCAGCCTCAGCAATTTAGAGAAGACTCTCAGCAACTTAATGAGACTGTCTTAAAATAAAAAGGACTGGGGATGTAGTAGGTCAGTGGTAAACAGTGCCCTTAGGCTCAATAAAAAGATAAATCAGACTGATATGATCCTAGAAGACAAAATAAGGACAAAAGAAGACAGATATAGGAAAAGAAATTTTGTACAGATCTGAGAGAGAACCTTCTAACACCCTAAAACAGATCTGTCAAAAGACAAAATGGCAACTTCTAAAGTGAACTCATCAAACCATAAAGAAATGAAAGTAAAGATAATAAACTAACCTAATATCAACATAAGAGTCTATGTGTTCACAAAGGATTTCCTTTTTTTCCCCTAAGAATGAATAAAAAATAAAACAAAATTGTATTAAGATTCTAGAAAATCATGTWTTCTAGAAGTTTACTAACTACAATGGAAACTGTACTTTCATTTYTTCCTCATATTTTTTTTTAATTTATTTTTTAGTTCTCGGCAGACACAACATCTTTGTTTGTATGTGGTGCTGAGGATTGAACCCGGGCCGCACGCATGCCAGGCGAGCG